TTAACAATACTACAAATACAAGTTGATACAATAAAATCAAATAATAAACTGTATACTCGTCGAAAGCAGGGCAAATACATCTATTAATATATTCTAACGGTAAACTAAAACAACACGAAGAAAAATTACATGTTCATCTGAAAAAAATAAAGAATTCATCGTTGAAGAAGTTGGTATCATTTCAAGTTTTAGATGACATGTATACTCGTTGAACGCAGTTAACTGGTTAACCCTTTGCAGTGGAATGTTGCCGTAATGGCGCCTTTGAGCTTCGACATCTAAAATCGAAAACTGCGAATTAATAATTTAATTGTTCAAGTAACGGGAGACTGACATGTGTATTCTTTTCTTTTAGTATTTAAAACTTCGATAAATTCAATTTTGTATGAAAAGAAATGTTAGCAGTTTAACATGTTGACTACCAAGCCTCTTTTCTGAGTTCTTCCCGTAGATACCATCTATGTATTTTTCCAATAATTAACGTTTCTTTGTCTTTCTGGTTAAAATTTGTGATTATAAAACATATATTATCAGACTAGATTTTTTTAGTTTCTTTTTTTAATTTTTTATTGAAGGCATCATCGATGAGTCCTATGATAGCCAACATTAAACTGTTCCTTGAGTACCGAATTAATTTGTATAAATTGTCCTATACGTTTAAACGCTCGCTGTATGATTTATTCTTTAACTATGATCGATACAAATACTTTATCGTTAATACTTTATTAAGAACACAAAAAATTTTAATGCTTATTCTATGTCTACATTTACTATAATGGTAAACGATTAATAACAGGAAAGTAATATGTACGTTATACTTAAAAAGAATTAATAATGCTTAGATTTCTCAAATTCAATTGAAAATTTTCGTCACGAGTTTGACGTGATATTGTATGCCATACTTAATGCAGCTCAGTGAAAATAAGAACAAGATATATCGAAAATTTTTCAATTTATTGCAACAGATCCATGACAAGTCGAACTCATCAAATATACCTAAAGCATTAAGAAACATTAAGAGAGTGCCGTCCGCAAACAGTTAATAAAAAATTGCCTATCGTTAGGAGTTAATTTATGTGTGGCCCAGGGAAGCTAAAATGTTGGATACCCCTGCTGTAGACGTTTCTGCCTGTTCATCGCTGAAACAAAGGAGAAGATATTCCCGTTTCCGAGTTCCGTCGAGAACGACGGATAATGAATTTACGGACAGCGTTGAAAACTGACGCGTGCACCGTTCAACTCGCGCGGAAAGTTTCACGTGATCGGACAACATAAATCGAGGCTTTAAGTTGCTCCGGGGAGATATGCGAGAACGCCTCGGGACACCTAGATCCGTTCACTTTTTCCTAACGAAACGCATGCTGCGCGAGCCTCGCGCCAAACGAGGAAATGCAGGACATGCGAGCGGCCGAACGGAGCTACAGGTTGAAATTCTTTTTCAGAGCTTGCAGAATCTCGGCAAACTTAGGCGACTTTCTCGGTCGTTCTTTCGACGCGGCTTCGGGTGAAAGTGAAAGCGCGGAGAAAGATTTCAGAGAAGTTTTAAAAGAAACGTCAAAATCGATAGGAATTTTCCATTTTGTTGTACTGTTGGCAGATAAGATTCATAGCTAATGTAGACGGGTACTGTGCGATTCATTCTTCAAGGACTATTTCAAAGGATTTTAACACTGAAACTACCGATTAATACATTTAATACGAATACTTTGTGGTGCCTATAAAAATTGTAGCAATAAATTATTTTCAGTTTCTTCAGACATTTATTATAGTATTCAAGTGAAACTATTTATTTTCAAAATCATTTCGAATATTCAATGCTTCTAAGGTATCAATAATTGCGAAACAAAAAGATCGGAATCAGCCGTTTTGACTGAAACGTAGTTCTAGTGTTAAAAGATACGTTACAGGTAATGTTCGTCGATGAATGAATTCCTTACTTGGAACTTCAAGTGATGTTCAAAGATATTTTCAAATAATTCCTGTAATGTTTCGCGAGACGAGAGTTTGAAGCCTGATTGTTAGTGAATACATCAACGAAAATAATTTTGGAATAAATTAAATGAATAGATGATTATTGCTTGTCAATTTAAAATTATACGAAACGTCGATATTTTTGTTAGGTAATAGTAGGTAGGATTTAGTAAGATTTTTGCATACCGAATAATGTATTAATATTCAACTACCGTTCGTGCAATATTCGATTAACGTTTCTTTGAACGTGTGCCACTTGAGTATGCGGTGTAATGAGTGCTGAGTCGTATTTGTGAGGCCACTCCTTAGTGCAGACGTGGAATGGCTTAACTTTGTACTCACAGTAGTCCTTGAAATTTCGATTGTCCCGTTAAAAATTTATTGCATATGTTTATTTCATATTGGAAATGTATTGTATAAGAATTACACCAATGAGAAAATATAATTAATTTTTACGGATACGAATGTTGTTTTGTGAAAAACATTACTGGCTTTCTTACTAAACTGTTTAATACATATTTTGCTTTTGAATAACAAATAGGTAATTATTGTGGATCTTTGTACTCTTAATGCGAATTTAGACATTTTTTTCATTATTAATATCAGTGTTTTAGACATTTTGAACGAAGGAAGCACATTTTTCATTTAAACATTATTTGTAAATTGATTGTAAATACCACACAAAGATTTCTTATAGAAAATGATTTTACAATCTCTCCTGATTAAAATAACATGTATTTTTTTAACATTATAAACATGTGAACATTTCTACAAAATTCCTGCAGATACTTTAATTTATTTAAAAAATTGAGGCCTAGCGCAACATTTAACTAGACTATGTATTATAACAAATTCTATTCTTAGGGAAACTATCAAAGAAGTTTGCAAAATAAATTCTATTTTCGATTGGAAAAATAAAACAGTTCCGCAAGACCACCAGTGATACTCAACCTAGCAATCACATAACATTGTTCTCAACGGATTCAATCGCTTCTTACGTACAGTTATAGGCACCAATTTGCTATGTTATATCATTTATTGTTCATAAACTATTGGAAATGGAATTTACATACTTAAAACTCTTTTATTTTTATTTAATCGATACTTTTAAGATTGCATTTGTGCCTATATTATAATAATGTTTTTAATTAATCAAAGTTCGTCCATTATACTAACGTCTTGATAACAAATAAACTGCACTTCATATGAATGAAATCTAGATATTAGTATTTGGGGTAAAATAAAGTATTTCATAAATTAAATGAGTAGTGAATTAACTACTACTAAATTACGAATAAATTAATTACTATTAAAATTATTATTACATGTAAAAGAATCATCAAATAATTCATGAACAATAAATATAACACGGAAGTAAGTAAATCGTCAAATGATCATGGTGTTGAGAATCACTGGCGAGATACATCGTATCTCGCGAAACTATTTTATTTTCTCAATCGTATGCAAAATCAGCATGTAGCGTTCTTTGATGGTTTCTGTGCGAACAGGATCTGCTCTATCTTGTAGTATGCATACATTTTATCTGAGATGTCTAGTTTTTAAAGTAGATTGAAAAGTAGTTGAAAAATTGATATGAAAGAAATGTTTTGCTTCCTTTGAAGATTATTTAAAGATATTTAAATATTTATAATGCCATGAAAATGTACAATTATTTTATTCATGAAAATCTATAGAATCATTTTCCACAAGAAACGTTCCAATAATTTTTGCAATAAATTTACAAATAATTCTGAAAATCATGAATTTTTTTTTTCTTCAAAATGAAATGTCTCAGAAAGTAAACGTTATGGACGAAAACAATTTGCAGATTTGTATTCAGCACGTGAAAATCTGTGATAATAGACCATTGAATGTTAGAATACGTGAAAAAAAGGGTAAAATTTGTTGGACACTGTTATTGGAGCGTTCTACGATAGAAACACGCGAATCGAGGATTGCTCGCACTTTTTACTGCAGCGAGCAGATTATGTGAACACCTTGCTGCATTATCTTGGGAGAATACAAGTGAAAGGAACGGGTTATGAACCTGCGGATACTTCTGCCAGCAGTAGTTTCATTTTATTCGTTTGTACAGAGCATGATGCTTTATCATCTGTGAAGAAAGAAGTAGGTGGATTTCAATATCAAAAGCATTAAGGAAAGAAAACATTACAAAATAAATTGTAAATAGAAAAAAATGAACACACACGGGCTCGCATAGCTTTTACTTAGAAAACATTAATAATTATTACTGAATTTCTTATTTTAATTGAAATTCAAAAGCAGAAATTAAATTTCGAGAAATAAGAAACGCATAGTAAACGCTATAAAACAAAAATCAGTCGATTCTCAATTATTATTAAGCTGAATTTCCGATTAAGTAAACAAAATAAAATAAAAATTACTATCTGAAAAACTAATAGATATAATAATCCATTTTAGAGATCGAAGAAACATCTGAAAGGTTACTTCTATCATTAAAAGAATCATGTTGTAAAAAAATAATCTAATTGAACGGTTTAATGAATGTTCACAAAAAGTTCGTCGAGATTGTTTATTCGTTTAATACAGACGAAAATCTGTTTTTCACAAGCGAAATCGATGTTGCATGAAGTTCAGTGAATCGATCTGGAATTACGAATTCCAGTCATGCCTGTTAAGCATCCAACGTGGAACGGTATCGCCTTTTACTATTGTTTCACGCTAACCGATTACCAACGCTGATGTTATGCAATAATTTCGTTGGCTTCTTAACGGTGCACGATTATATACGTATGCGTGATGAGATCGTGCATCATGCAGCCGCCATTCATGCACTGCAGGACTGAATTGCGTGTTCCTACAACACGAAGTAGCCTTTTTAAATATTAATTAACCAGTACCCGCTGAAATATGAGTCACAACGAATACCGACTGACATTTTTCTTTCAATTTTTATATTTCTTCAGATTCTTTCCCCCTCCTTTAAATTCTTATTATTTTTACAATCCTCACAATTCTCATATTTCTATTATTTTATGCTATTTCAGATTAAACACTTGTGCACCGACGAAGAATGAAAGTAGACTGAACACAATGCTCCTGAAACAGTTTGTTATTATCGTATCTTTAATATATTGTAAGTATTCATTGTTCAATATTCTCTTTTCGCTATTATTAGGTCGTGTAATATACAATGTCGGATTTTCCGGAAAAAAGAAAACCTTATTTGATGCTGTAAAAGACCCTTATTACACGTTGTGAAGACTGTTCTTTCATTAACAGTATTGTCTTCAAATGCTTTGTTTACATTTTAAGCGGTTTTTATAGCAATATTTCCAAGTTTGAACTCACATAAGAAAATTACAAAAATGCTGGAGGTATCCATGTTTTTAAAGAACGATACACGGAATAGTTATTATGCGCTATTCGGAAGAAATTCTTTACAAAAAGTTACTCTGATGATGGAGAATGGAATTGTTTAAGTAAGAAGTTGTATGAAAATCAAAGGAATAACAACAACAGGAGTATAAACATTCATGAGTAAGAAAAATCCGATACTTCATATTACACAACCTAATACAATACTAATCAAATGACAATTATAAATTAAGGAGTGGTTAGAAATAAAAGAAAAGCATTCTTTTTGAAAATAATACATCTTCATGTTTTATGAGTAGAAAGTAATTAACAGAGAGTATTTGTATGCTGTTTAGAGATAAGGAAAGATACAATTAATATAAAAAGTGTAATCGTTGCCTTTCCCAGCACGTCGGATCTTTCGTATAATTACGAGTGATGCTATAGTGTGTTCATCAGAAGGTTTCAGTATGAATGCCTCGGGCGTTTCTTTATTACCAAATGGCTATACTTTCCCACACTTGCCACGTACTAGTCAGACACACTACGTACATGTACATGTGTGCTTGTACACTTTCCGTAACATAGAAGCCTTTAATTTGTAAGCAACGCTGTGCACACTTTGTTACAGCATCGTCTGCTCAAAAAATCTTGACACACCCGTTTCCTATGAAATTGGCTATGATTGAAATTTTAATTTTGTCAGACAACAGACAAGTACCTAACGAAGGTCTACAATAAGAATGATGTAAGAAGAGAAAAATGTTGAGCTTGAAATTCCACTTGAGAACCTAATAAAACAATTCTATAATTTAACATTTAATTTAATATTATTCTGTTGTATAATTTATTCCTATTAACTTAATACTTAATTCAATATTATTTCATTCTATAATGTAGCTTGTAATTTAATATGTAATTCAATATTATTCTATTATATAATTCATTCTATAATTTTTATTAGTTATCAGACGTTTATAAATTAGTATATTATAAAATTGAAATATTTCAACGTCTCATTCCCAATTTATTGCTTACTCCAAAAAGATGCTCGTCTCGAAATTTTACAGGAAAAGTAATGTAATTTTACGAATTTCATAACGTAATACATTACATAAAGGTATTACAGTTTATAACGATTCCACGAACAATCGATTGCCCATGATACGAAGACGAGGGGCATAAAGAATATTTCACTTCACTTTTAGTTACAGAATGCGCAGCCCAAGTTTACAAGAGTCACTCGGTCGAAACTGCAGTAGTAATCAAACCAGCGGTTGTAAACGATGATTTTATTACACAAACCGTCTACGGTTTCTTGGATTTCACCACCACCATTGGAAACACGGTGATGGTATTCAGCCCACAAAGCGCACCAGCAGGTATAATTTAACATTTTTAATCCGAACGAAATGTACTTATTCATAACGATTCCTTCAATTTAATCGACGCAAATCTCGCGACACTGCTAACCCACGTAAGGGACACTGCCTCATTAAAGAAAAAATACTTCCCAAATATTGTAAAGATTTCAATAAATTTCAATACTTTCAAATTGCGAAACGCTTGCATGCGATTTCCAAAAATTCCTATAAAACATGTTTCATTATAAATCATTGAAGTAAATCAAACTTTTAACGAAATTTCAACAAAATGCAGTTTGTGATTCAAATTACAAGCGGAGAATAATTGAATTAAATCATTTAACAAAGGACAAGGGTGAATCGTGTTTGCAGAATGACATTTATTGATTTTTATGAGACGGTAAAAGTTTGGAAATTATTTTAAGCTTTTCAACGCGAGGTTACATTAAAATAACGTATGGATCGATATTTGCACCTGAACTCTGATTACAAAATTCCTTGAACTGTACCGAGTCCTTGAGCTAAAAAGGATGTTATTCATGGGCAAAAGTCACGAATGATTTTGACTAAGCCTTGCCTCACAGACAGTTATAGCAGGCATCACACCTTGGTTGTTATCTCATTGTTCCTGTACCACCGTGAAGGATACCCATTGTTCTCGTCACCGCCCCCTAAACGTTAATTTTTGGATTAGTTGCTATACAGTGAACTCAAACGTTGAATATGCATTACAAAACAAAACGAACATATTACAACGTTTTAAAAGAAAATTCAAATTAGGTAAACAGTGAAGAAAATTGAATCCAGGAGCATTCAAAATAATAAAGTCCAAAACATAATAAATTGACAATATTATTTTACCTTTAATGCAATATTATTATTATATGAATAATAATTTTTTATTATTATCTTTATATACATTAATTTTTATTATTGTTTTATTGAATTAAATTATTATTGCAAAAGAAACATATATGAAATGATGAAACACGATTATATGTAATCTATAATTACTTACTTCTCAAGGAATGTAGATACGATCACACATAATTAAAATAGAAAATTCTTCAAAATGTTCGATAAATTTTAGGAACCGCGAGTGACTTAACGTAATTAATCGTACACTCCGCCTTTCAGACGGTGAAAAGGGAAAGAAGAGCAGTGTTTCGATTATTCAGACGAAACCGAGCGAAACGCAGGGAAAAGCGGTTCTTGATATTCAACCGAGCAAAACGCACAAGACCAACTCCGACGAGGAAACGAAGAAACAAGTAAAAGGCACAAAGATCGTTGTGAATTCCGTGATTGAACAGAACGTCATCAATTCCTCGGAAGATAACGGATTGCGGTCTCCAAAAAGCCAGGTAAAATCAATCAATAATGTAACATTTTCAAAAAATTCCTAATAAAGCAGAATCTTAAATTACCAAAAAATACATATATTTAAATATTTAATGATATGTCGAACGTTAAGATGTATAGACGAGACGA